AAACTTAATGAGTCCCTTAGAGTTCTGCGGTTTGTCGACGGGTCTGAGTGGAAATGGGGTCAAAAGATCTTTCATTACAGAACCGTCAATGTGGGTCTTCAGGCTCAATGGTTAGAAGCCTGGTGGCCTGCTTCTGATGATGAGTTCGCATTTGTTGTGGAAGATGATTTGGAGCTTTCTCCACTATATTTTAAGTATTTGAAAGCTTTGATCTTGAATTTTTATTACAATGATTCTAATTTTAGTCCTTCTGTTTATAGAGCTTCCCTTCAGCGACCAAGGTTTATTCCAGGTATTTTTCATCTTCTTCTGGAGTTCCTTTTCTTTTTTGATAGTTTAGGTCGAACTCTTCCTTTTGCTTAGTTAGAAATGAATGATTGTTATTGTTTGATGAACAATTCTGAAGTTGCCTTTAATTTTAATCATATAAACTAGTTTAGTGATGATTGGATTTAGTTATTTGTTCGGTTTTAGAAGATTTAGTTTTTTAGTAGATAGTACTGCTTGTAAATTGCTAGGGTAATCAATCCACTGCTTGTAAATTGCCTTTTCTTTGTCGCTATTCTGTAAGAAGAGATTCTTTAGAAAACATCATTATTTTCATATCCTATTCTAACCGTCAAAATAGCAAGATTATTGATCCAACTACCACTAAACATGATCCTTTTTTCTTTCATTTCTTTTAAAAATTTCTAAGTTCCTTCATTATTTGCTTGCTGCTCCAGGTAAACATGGGAACAAGATGCTACTGGATAGCACCACATGACTTTTCTTCTACCAACTGGTTGGTACTTGGGGCCAGCTTCTCTTTCCAAAGCCTTGGAAAGAGTTTAGGTTGTGGTATGATGATCACAAGGTGAAAAACATCAAGCCATTTCTTGATGGGATGGTAAATTTATATTGTTTTATCTCTTTTATTCGTCTTCCCTTGTTCATGTATATGGTGTTTATTTTTATTTTAATAAAATCTAAAAACTATATACAAGTTACCGCGGGTTGGTACAAAAAGATGGGAGAAAGAATATGGACTCCTTGGTTTATTAAATTTATTCATTCTCATGGCTATTTTAATATCTACACGAAGTTTCCAGATGAGAAATCACTTGGTGTCTCTCACAGGGATGTTGATGTTAACTATGGAAAAACAGCAGGGCCAGAGTCTCAACTATTGGATGCAAATTCTTTTGATTCCCATTTTCGAGAAATGAAATCTTTGATTTCTATGAAGTGGTATGACTTCTGTTTCATGGGAAGTAGTTCCGGGAAGAATGGTAAGGCACTTGAATGATCTGGGTTCTATTCTTCCCTCTGTGCAGGCCAAGGGAACTGTTATGCTTGTCAGCCTATTTGGGGTGTCGGAGATAGTTACTAGAAACCTTCTTTTTATTTTTTTCTTTTTGTTTATATTATACCGTACTGAGGTCAAGCTTTCATTGGCAATGAAAGAAGAAAATATAACCAAACTCTCGAAAGTTTTATGGTCCATGTTTTTCTTTGAAAGCTTCACTCTAATAATTTGATACTTTTCTAGGAGCTGCTAAAGCTCAAACTCAGATATAATATATTTTCTTTGTTATCTCTTTGTTTTCTGTATATGTACAGTCCTTATGGGTTTGAAGTAATGGTATAATTCTTCGTTTTAAGGAATTCAGAAGAATCAAGCAATGAGGGAACATGCTTGTTAGCACAGTGTTCGGGGACTTAGAGGACTTGTCTTGAGACCAAATATTCTTGCTTGTTGCAGTACAATGGTTCTACCCTTATTTATATTTTTCAACTGTATTTAGCAGTGCTAATTTGACATTTCTTATTCATTCACTTGCCCCTTTTTTGCAATAGGCACTTGATGATAATGTCAAGTTAAAGCTCTCTCCGTTTTGCCATGTTCCGGTAATGAAACATGAATTCTATTTGTCTGCTTCTCTTCCATCTCCTAAATCAGTAACTACTGTTATTAAGAAATATGACTTCTTTCTAGGCCGAAAATACTGTCACTCTCTATGACGTTCCAAATATTTGTCTAAGTAGTTCACTTTTTGAGTTCTTTTTATCGTCTAAAATTCTTATAGTACAAAGTTATAACTGGAAATATATGTTCCTTGATTCATTTGTTTATTTTACTGATCATGAATATGATCAAAAGGCACATGAAGCAATCTTGAAATGATTGAACCTACTAGGGTTTTCCCTATGAACTTTGAGGGAGTTAGACATGCATGCTTTCTTGATCCAAAATTATAAGATTTCATTGCTTATCACTCTTTTGTATTTCCTTAACTTTTCTAAGAATACAAACTTGCTCAGATTCTTGGGGTAAGAATTCTAACTTCTAAAAGTAAGATGGCAACCAATACATTATTAAATTTTTTCTTTATGATGACATTTTTTACATTCTTATGTAGAATATATTTTAGTTTTCATGGTTCCTGACTTCCTGTTTTTGTTGTTTGTTGCAACAACTTTTTTCAGTTCTCAATCACTCACATGTATGTTATGAATGCAAGTTCTACTGGTTGTTTCCTTCTCTTCTTAGTCTCATCTAAATTATTGTAATTGCAGTAATCTTGAAGAACAAACTTCAACAAAAAGCGGCTTCTTCAATAGACTGGCACAACGTTTCCCATTTGTTTTTAATCTATTGAGGAGAGATCATTCACTGTCAAATGATACTTTCAAATAAGATGTCAAGACGATGAATATGACAAATTCCAATGAAGTGGGAAACAAAGTAGTTTTAAAAGGCATATCTGGAGGTTATGATGATAACGCTAGTGAAATTGAGGATGTATCGAACAACAAATCCATGTATATCTATACTTTAAGGTTCAGTTGTAACTCATTTGTACTTTAATGTCTTTTAAGGTTCTCTCTCCATAAAAAAAATTTAATTTATTTTGTTGTTAAGTATTTTTCTTTATGTTTTTTGTCTTAATTAAAATGTATGGTTGTTGTTAATTAGATAAAGCTAGATATAAATTTAGGTGATGTATAGCAGAAATAAAATATACAAAATCAATTAATATTAGCTAAAGAAAGGTAATTAGCGGCGTTTGTATCCAAAAACGCCGCTATAGGTCTGACTTTTTGCGGCGTTTGTGTTCAAAAACGCCGTTATAGGTCTAACCTTTTGCGGCGTTTGTGTCCAAAAACGCCGCTATAGGTCTAACCTTTTACGGCGTTTGTTCTAAAAACGCCAGTATAGGTATTCTCTTTTGCGGCGTTTGTATCCAAAAACGCCACTATAGATCTGACCTTTTGTGGCGTTTTTTCTAGAAACGCCGCTATATATCATAACTTTTTGCGGCGTTTATTCCAAAAACGCCGCTATAGATATCGACCTTTTGCGACGTTTGTTCAAAAAACGTCGTAATAGATATTGACCTATTGCGGCGTTTTTTGTTCTCAAACGCCACTAACTTTAGCGGCGCTGGTATTGCCGACGCTTCTTACGGCGTTTTTCCTATCGCCGTAAATACTTTTAGCGGCGCTTAAAAACGCCGCTATAAGACTAAAAAAACGTCGCTAAAACTCTGTTTTGCTATAGTGAATCATCGATGATGAATTGAGGGATATGTAAGATATTATTTTCAAGCCTTATATCGAACATGCTATTTCCTTCTATTGTTTTGAATTTCATCCCATCTTCTTCGAGTTTCAAGGCACAATGTATGAGGTTCATATCAGAATTAAGGGTTTCCACAAAGACCTTTATTTCTAAACTTGAAGGATGAAAGCAATAGTGATATGTAAAGTCTAGCAAGTGCTTGATTTCTGATCCGACGGACCTGAGGGGATGGACCGAGGAGGGTGCTGGGGTGCGGTCGCACCTCTTAGAAATTTTAAATTCCCTTATATTTTAGGTTTTCTTTTTGTATTTTCTATTGATTATCTAATTTTGCACCCTTAAAACTTTTAACTTCTTAAGTTTGCTCCCCGACATGAATTCCTGCTTCTGTCCCTGTTGAGGTCGTTTTCAGTACACCTCTTTCCGGTACTCTATGGAAGAATAAAACGAAAATCGCGTTCACGAATGTACCTCAACCAACTCTCGGCTCAATCATGGCATATATCTCCCAGACAAGGTAACACTTGAACAAATCTGTATGCTCCTGTAAATATAAGCGAATCAGCTGAACAATAAAGCATCATTGACGAGCAACATTTCGATGAAATCATCTGAGTGAAGGCATAAAGGTTGTCCATAACATTTTCTAGCTTGTTATTCTGAAACATTAATCTCCTGTGATTCTTCAACAAGTTGTAGAAGAAAGCCAAGCTTTTGCTCTTCCATCGCTCTCAAGGAATCTTTACCTTGATAATATGAACAGATAGGTCTTTCGTTTACCTAACGAAGATAATTAGACACTGAAAATACAAGACTGAGGCGACGTTACTGATGAATGCTTAAACTTTTGTTCTTTTAATCTTGTTTTTCAATTTCTAATTTGGATGAACAGAAAGTAAATAAAGAACTTCATAAACAAAGATATTTTTTTTAAAAAAATACATTAACAAAGATTCTAAGTTTAATTTGACATGTATCAATCAAGAAATTGATTTGGAAAATAAAATCATTGTCAGTAAATGTTATGAAAAAAGATATTAATGTAAAATTTTTAATTAATTGATGATGTAGTGGAAAGGTTCTATGAAATAATTTCTTCCTGATAATAGGAACGGGTTACAAGCGGGTCTAGATAGCATGAGGTTGGACTTGATGCTAATTGGATTTGGGTCTGATTGATTTAGAACATTTTTTTACTCGAACTAAATTTAGTGTTTATATTGGATTTGTGTAAATTCGATTTTTCGAATCATAGTGAGTGTTTTATTTGGTACATGTGCAATAGGTTTCATTCGAGTCACGCTAATCTAAACTCTTTGAGAAAAACCCAAAAAAAAAAATTTCTAAAAGTCAAACACAATTAAAAAAATTGAACAAAATACGTGTCATTCTATCTATAATGAATAATTTTTTTAGTACATTTGAATGTGACAATCTAATCTACATAATTCTGTTGTTGCACAACTAGAACAGATGCACTGCTATATATATCTGTGGATGCAAAAAGGTCTCCGATGACCCCTAGTTCAGGAAATTCACTCCATTCCGATAAACCTGCCGTTTGTACTGAATCCATCCCGTGGCGTCTACCAACGATGATCAAGTCATAGTCGTCTGCAATCGATTGAACGATTCTCGCAACTTGCAATCCGCTATTCGAAACTTGTTGTACATACATCACGTTGCAAACATTACTAGATCTATTGTGCTTGATATCTCTCAATATCTCAGCATCTAACATCATGTCCCAGTTCATGTCATTGACATGGACTTCATTAGTAATAAGATGGATCACAGTCAGCTTCACCCTAGGGTTATAAGCCATTCTTTTGGCTAATGTTAAAGCCTCTCGGTCATCTCTTCCGCCTAAGAAGATCATGGAAATGGAGTAGAACGATGACCTCAACACCTTCATCGGTGTTCTCACCCATTCATCTACACTTCGGGTGACGAGAATCCCTACCGAGCAAGGTGCTCTATTTAGGACGTTGCAATTCAGGTTTCTTATCACACTGTTTTCGAGTTCAATGGATCCGTCAATGGACCATTTTCTATGGAATGGAAGAAGTATGAAGGATGTTTGCTTGTTGAGGGCCATAGTGCAGATGTCCTCATGCATCAGTTTAGGCGGGGATATTGCTGTGAACTCATTCACTGTAACGAATCCCCTGTTGTTTTCTTCATATTGACGGAAAGCAAGAATGTGTTTGAAGGAACCCTTGACTACCTTTTCGTTCCTACTATGAGCTATAAAGATTGGAGTATCGCGACCCGTCAGTTCAATCAGGTGAAGGGCATAAACAACATTAGGACTCTCTTTCGTAGGGCATGTGATATCTAGCACATCGATCAAGGCCGAGACATGTTCTGGTCTATGAACACACGCAAGAATCCGTAGCTCTGAATTGGGTTTCAAGTGTTGTATGTTCCTTTTCTGATATCCTGCATATTTTCTTGAATCTGGGTCGTAAAGGAACTTCACCAGGATCGGGATTATCGTTGCATTTACGAGAACCTCAAGGGTAAAGATGCTGAATGCTTGTTTTGACATATACTGCAAATGAATAAGGAAATCAGAACTGAAGGTATAAATTCTGAAAACACAATCACATTGTAAAAGGATTTAGATTTACCTCAATGTCTCTGAAACTGACGAAATACGACAACTCCACGACGCCTTTGCAGCTCATAATTAGAGCAAAAGCCAAAGAGTCCTTGAAGGGCATCATGCCCCAAAATGAAGCCACGAAACAAGATATAAATTTGGCCAAGAATGAGAAAACGATATTAAGTAGAGAAAATTTGAGGGTAGTCAGATCGGTAAACAACAACCATGGTTTAATGGTCATTGAAGATGTGGTTACGTAGGTTGCAAGAAAGACACCATTGACAAAGCATTGAAACTTGTTGACCAGGTCAGATCCTAATGGTGGTCCTTCAGGGACAGCTAAACCGATGAGAAAAGGGCCGATTAAAGCAGACTGATTGAACTTAGTGGTAAACACACCACATCCCAGAGCTACGATCACAATGATCACAATGTACACGTCCTTGATCGGCCTGCCTTCTGTAGTTCCTCTAATTATCGAAAACATCAATGGACGGAACAAAAAAAAGATGAGAAGCACAAACATTACCATTACCGCTGCATGCGCTCCAGCGAGCAGTGGTGAGACGGTCCAGCGTTGCCACGAAGAAATGGCGTAAACTAGCACTAAGGTGCTAATGTCGCAGACAACCGCCGACGACAGAGCCATTCGTCCCAGTTCAGAATTCAGGATCTTGAGCTCGGTGAGAAGGTGCGCGATGACAGAAGAAGACGTTAAAGATTCAATGGTTATTCCCATCAAGCGTTCCAAGATTAGCGTTTTAGTCTGTTCAGGCTCTTTGTAGGTCTGGTAAACAGCTAAACCAACCAACATAGGGGCTAAAAGGGATATAACGCCAACCAGCACGGATCTTCCTGATGTGGTAAATGCCATCTTCAAATCCATTTTCACTCCCATTAGAAACAAAAACATGGAGAAACCAAGCAATGATGCAGTCTCGATGGTTTCTAAACCCAAATAATCTTCAGCATAAAATATGCGACGGAGTCCTTGTATTTGCCCCAGGATCAGGCCGGCCTAGTCAACCAAATAAATTAATCAATCACAAATAATATACAGAGAGAGAGAGAGAGAGAGAGAGAGGAAAGAGATAATTAATAAACGTACAAACATTTGTGAGGCGAAGTAGGTGACTCCAAGAGGCTTGAAGATGGCATGAACGAGATGAGTGAACAAGAATATCAAGAGGATTTGTAACTCCAGAAGTGGTACCGAATACGTCAAAATCGTCGATGGAGTGTCTTCCCAGACACCGGCGGAATTCACCTTGGGCGGTAAAAAGATGCAAATTTCGAGCGTCTCATTTCCGTAGGGGAGATGTGATGACTCCCCGTCCATGAACGCCGCCGGTGTCTATAAGACAAGGGTGTTAATGTCAGGGAACATATGCGGATTGGATGAAAGGGAGGTGCAGTGCAAGGTTTAAAGTACAAAATAGATGCAATTATTTCTTGCTAATGTTTAACAATTCCTAGTTGTCTGTTGTAACTACATTTCTGGTTTTACTATGTATATGATGTTTTCGGTTGACTTACAGCTTAAGAAATCAAGTCATACTAATTAAAACTAAACACCATAAAAGAATTTTTCGGAAAGTTACTCAATTAAAACTAATATTATTATTAGATGGCATTTATAATTTTTTTAAAAATATTTTGTTATAATATTTAGTAGTTTTTTTTTTAAAGAATTAAATAATTTTTTTTAAATACCATGTGCCAACATATAACACAACACATGACTGATAAAAGATATTAGATTTAATGATTAACATTCATTAAAATAATTAATTAAAAAAAAATTGGATAGACAAATTTAATAGAGTGCAAAAAAGAAATCAAGGGTTTGATTAATATATATTTTTTAAAATTGAGAGCTTATGTAATTCTTAAGCCTTGTTATTTTAACCTTTTTAATTAAAACTTTTATTTATTCAATTTTACACTTGAAATTTGATTTATGTTCGATTTATACATGTCAAATTTTATGGTATAACGCACAAATTCATTGGTTAATTAATTTCGTTAGATACTGTAAAGATTTATTATTGAGACATTTCTTTTAATCTAGTTTGTTCTATTTACTACGTTGAGATACAAAAAAGATATAGTCTCTAACAGTTAATATACACACATCAATAATTTATTTTGATTTAATCATACATATTTTAAAAACAATTACAATAATCGATTTGCATTTTGAATAAATGTAATTACTTCTGTATACAATATATAAACATAAAATGATACTGACTTTATTAACATGTGATAACTGAACTAAATCAAAATTTTATATACATAATTATATAAAAAAAAATTAAAAAATGTCATGTGCTAACATATGACAAGACACATGACTGATAAAAGATCATGTGTTGGATCCGAATGTGGCGTCGGCTTTACCCTTAGTGACTGTTGCTGGAATGGTTGATGAGCAAGGGAGTGGAGGTGGCCGTTAATCGCTGAGGTGTTATCCCAGGTTGTTTTGCATAGATTAATTGCTACGATGACCCCGAAACAGGTGCAGGTTGTTGATGGTTCAGCATGGAAATGGAACCCAAATCGAATGTTCACCTTTCGGTCTGCGTATGACGTTCGGATAGGGTATGTTTCGGGGTCGACTGATAAAATTTGGCGAGCCATTGCTAAGTACCGCCGGCTGCAAAGGGTGAAAGTTTTCGTATGGCTTCTTGTTTGTAGTAGACTCCTTACGAATAGTGATCGGATGCGACGTCATATGGGTACACGTTCTAATTACGGAGTTTGTGGCTTGAACGAGGAAACAATTTACTACCTTCACCAATTGCGTGGGTAAAGTGATCCTTATTGTGTTGTTTTCGACTTCAACATATCCGTCAGAGGACCATTTTGTATGGAATGGAAGAGGTATGAAGGATGTTTGGTTGTCGAGGGCCATTGTGCAGATATGAGAAAACGGACAAATAAAGAGTATTTTGTATTGAGTTAGCCTACAAAATCATTTGAGAAAATTTCAAAATACTTGAGGTTGTGATGTGGGTTTTTATATATAAAGTTGTTGTTGCATAACTAATACAAATACCCTGCTATCTAAAACCATGGATGCAAGGAGGTCGCCAATGACCCCGAGCTCAGGATATTCACTCCATTCCAATAAGCCTGTTGTTTGGACCGACTCCACCCCACAACGTCTGCCTACGATGATCATGTCATAATCAGCCGTAATCGATCTAACAAACTTAGCGGTTTGTGTTCCGTCGTTTGAAACTTCTTGTGTAAAGGTTACGTTGCAACCATCACCAACTTCATTCTCCTTGAAATCTTTCAACATTTCAACATCCAGCATCATGTCCCAGTCTACGGCCTTCACGGGCTCTTGATCGGAAATGAGATGGATCAAGGTCAGCTTCACTCTAGGGTCACGGGCTATTCTTTTGGCTAATGTCAAAGCCTCCCGGTCATCTTTCCCGCCTAAGAAGATCATGTCGATGGAGTAAGATTTGGACGACTTAGTCGATTTCTTCTTCCAATTGTGTAAGTCGCAGCCCATGAGGATCCCTATCGACCATGGGGCTCCGTGTAGGACGCTGAAATTCAAGTTCCTTATCATTCTGTTTTCGTTTTCAACAACAGTTCCATCCATGGTCCATTTTTTATGGAATGGAAGAAGAAGGAGGGATGTTTGCTTGTCGAGGGCCATAGTGCAGATATCCTCATGCATCAGTTTAGGCGGAGAGATTGCTGTGAATGCGTCCACCGTGACCAATCTGCCGTTCTTTTCCCCGTATTGATTGAATGCAAGAATATTTTCGTACGACTTTGTTGTCGAGCTTTTAGTGAGCGATAAAGATCAGAGAATCACGACCCACTAGTTCAATCAGGTGAAGGACATAAACAACATTTGGACTCTCTTTTGTAGGGCATTTGAGATCAAGAACATCTATCATGGTATGAGCACTTTCACTTCCATGAATACAGGCAAGAACTAGTAGCTCGACATCGGGTTTTAAGTGCATCAAGTTTCTTTTCTGATAGCCTGCATACGTTTTAGAAACAGGGTCGTAAAGAAACTTAACGATGATTGGGATTAAAGTTGCATTCACTAGAATGCAAAGGGCCAACACTGTAAAGGTCGATTCTGACAAGATATGCGGAAGGAATGGACACGAAATTGGTGGTTGATTAGAAATGATGGAGACGAGTTTTCCATTTAGATTACCTTGATGCCTCTGTAACCGGCAAAATACTGCAACTCCACGACACCTTTGCTGCTCATAATGAGCGAAAAAGCCGAGGAGTCCCTGAAGACAATACGAAACATGATAAAAATTTCGCTATAAATGTCTAAACAACGAAAACAATAGAGAAGTTAAATTTTGCGGGATCAGACAACACGTTCTTTGGATTAACTTTCATTGTAGTTGTGGTTACAAAGGCTATCAGAAAGACACCTCTGGCAAAGCAATCAAACTTGTCTACCAAGGCAGATCCCAGTGGTGCTCCGTCGGGGATAGCTAAACCGACCAGAAAAGCCCCGAGCAGAGGAGATTTATTGAACCAATTGGTAAATATAGAGCATCCTGTAGCTGCTACGAGGACGACCAAATGTGTTTTTCCCTGACCGGCCTCCCTTCTGGTGTTTCTTTAATTATCCAAAACATCAAAGGACGAACCATAACAAAAAGAAAAGTTATGAAAAGAACTGTTATTTCTAAATACTTACGAAATTTGATGTCGAGTAGTGCAAATGTTCGGTCAAAGAAACGAAGTTAATTAGACATAAGAAGCACATGTTACATACGGTCGACGAAGATAGAGTCAGTCATCCCAGTTCGGTATTTCCGATCTTGAGGTCATCAAGTAGCCATGTCATGACTGAAAAAGAAGTCGTGGATTCAATGGTTGTTCCTAACATGCGTTCCATGATACAAAGCTTATTACTTTGGCTCTGGTAAACAATTAAACCAATCACCATAGGAGACAAAAGGGATACAATGCCTATCACTTTGGCTCTCCTTGTGGACCTAATTACCTCCCTCGCGTCCATTTTCACTGCCATCAGAAACAAAAATATCGATAAACCAAGCGCTGCTATGATTTGAACGATTTCTGAACCTGGTCCCGGTATACATCTTTGAATGCTTATATTTTCCCCAACATTACAGGCCCCAGGATCATACCGACCTACTTGAAAAATATTAAACCGAAATAATATTAACCATAAATCAAGGGAGGGTTTCTCTTACTTGCTATGCAAGAAAACCCAATAAACAAAAGCAGTTAAATCAATTAACGTACAAACAATTGTGAGGCGAAGAAAGTGACACCAAGAGGTTTTAGGATGACATAGACGATATGAGTGATCAAGAACATCAAGAGCAGCTCCACCTCCACAAGCGGTAACGGAAACGTGAGAATCTCCAGTGGAGAAGCGGTGTTTAACCAGATACCAGGGGAATTAACCTTAGGCGGAAGGAAGATGCAAACCGCAATTGTTCCATTTCGATACGAAAGATATGGTGGTGGTGAGGCTTCAGACATGGATGCCGCTAAGATTACAGTGTTACAGGTGAAGGATGTTGCGGAAGACGGCTATCGGATAGAGCAAAATCGTAACTGATAATTTGAGAAAATAAAAATGAAGATAAATGAGACACAAAATTTACATGGAAAACCCCTAAATAATATAGGGTAAAAACCACGGGAAACGGTAGAAGAATTTCACTATGAGAAAATAGGAATTACAACTTCTCTCGATCTATCAAGGAGAAAACAATGATAATTCTCTCTTGATAAAAAAGATAAAACAACTCTCAAGAAACTCTCTAAATTCTCTAGTATTGGGAGAAAGCTAGAATGATTTGGGACGGTTTTGAAGCTAAATGAGCTAGGGTATTTATAGTTGAAGCTTAAGGACTATTTGTAAATACCCTAAATTACAATGACTAAATTGTGATTATACTATTTAGCAAATTTCAATAATTGTGTGCTCCTTTTTACCATTGCACCGAATTGTGCATTAATGCACCGTTTTCGGTGCTGACTTTTAACAATCTCTCACTTGAAAATTTGATTGGAACAATCATATCTTCACACCATTGTTTTTACCTTGTGCAATCATGTTGCTTACGTTTCTGAAAAGCCATAAGAGGATGGACACCAAGTAAATTTATCAGCATTGATCGCATTTGTCATGAAATTTGCTATGTTGTCTTTGGTATGGATCTTATGCATATCTACCGTCCATTCTTCCACCTTTTCACGAATGAAATGGTACTGAAATCATATGTGCTTTGTCTTTGAATAAAATACTGGATTCCTTGCTAGATGCAAGGCTCTTTGACTGTCACAAAATAGAGAGACATACTCTTGATTGTGCCCAAGCTCCTCCAATAGCATCTTCAACCAAATTGCTTCTTTACCTACATATTCTGCCTCTGTTGTGGATGTAGCCACAACTGATTGCAATTTTGAAACCCAGCTTACAGCTCCACCAGCAACTTTGAACACATATCATGTAGTAGATTTGCTTTTATCCAAATCCCCTGTATAGTCAGAATCGACATACCCATTGATAAGTAAGTTTGATCCTCCATAACATAATACAACATTTGAGGTCCCTCTGATGTATCTCAGGATCCTTTTTACTGTATTCCAATGCTCTTTGCCTGGATTCGCCATGTACCGACTAACTACTCTCACTGCTTGTGCATATCATAGCGAACATTAAACTTCCCACTACCGATGCATCCGGTACTCGAGACATCTCCATCATCTCTTGTTCACTGCTAGGACTCATACTGGAGGATAATTTGAAGTTAATAGGAAGAGGGGTAGAAATTGACTTACAATCTTGCATGTTGAATCTTGACAAGATCTTCTTCAAGTAGTTCTTTTGTGAAAGCCAAATATTCCTATTACTTCTGTCTTGGTGAATTTGCATCCCTAGAATCTTGTTTGTTGATCCCAAGTCCTTCATGTCAAATTCCCTAGCCAGTTGTGCCTTAAATTCTTCAATATGATCTTTGTTGGGTTCTGCAACCAACATGTCATCTGCATACAACAACAATATAACAAAATCGTTATCACCAGACCTCTTGAAATAAACACAAGGCACATAATGAAGGAATCAAATCTCTTATACCAACACCTCGGCGTTTGCTTTAGACCGTACATAGATTTTTTCAACCTGCAAACCAAGTTCTTCTTTTCTTTTTCTTCAAAACCTTCAGGCTGGAGCATGTAAATCTCTTCTTCAAGATTTCCATGAAGAAAATTTGTTTTAACATCTAGCTACTCTAGATGTAAGTTCAATGTAGCACACATTGCCAAGACTACTCGAACTATTGTTATTCGAACTACAAGAGAAAATATTTCGTTGAAATCAATACCTTCTTTTTGAGCATATCATTTGACCACCAGTCTTGCACGATACCTCTCCACTTGATCGTCACCATTTTGCTTGATTTTGAAGACCCATTTGTTACCAATTGGCTTCCTTCATTGTGGTAGTGGCACAAGGTCCCATGTATTATTTTTATGAAGGGCTTCTATTTCTTCTTGCATCTCCATCATCCATAGTGAAGCATCTGAGTTGTTTATTACCTCATGGTATGTTGATGGCTCACCGTCCTCTGTTAAAAGGTAATATTCAATATTTCCTTCTATAACATAATATGAGTGTCAATTGGGACGTCTTCTCATACGATCTGATTGACGAGTTGTTGGAGCTTCAGAACTCTCTGGTTCTTGTTCACCATGTGTTGGTTCTGCTTCAGAAGAATCTCCTTGTTTAATCTCCATTTCCACATGTATCTATGTAGTCTCTGACTTTTCAGTGCTATCATCTTGTTATTTTCTTTGTAGTTTATCTTCTACAAAGATAACATCTATGCTAATGATCACTTTGCGGGCAGTGGGATTCTACAAGCGATACCCCTTTACACCATCAGCATACCCTAAGAATTTGCATTTCCTGGATTTTGGATCTAGCTTTGAAATTTCTTGGGAGTTGTACATCACGTACACAATACTTCCAAATACACGGGGGTTCGAATAATCAGCTGGTTTACCAGTCCACATCTCCATTGGTGTCTTCAGCTCTATTGCAGTTGATTGAGCTCGATTCACCAAATAACAGGCGATATTGACTGCTTCTGCCCAGAATGATTTTTCTAGGCCTGCATCCCTCAACACTGCTATTGTTCTTTCTAACAAGGTTATGTTCATCCGCTTTGCCACTCCATTTTGTTGAGGAGTGTTCGCCACTGTGAATTGTATTTTGATGCCTTCTTTCATGCAAAAGTCATCAAATTCTTCGCTTGTGTATTCGCCTCCATTATCTGTTCTGAAACACTTGATCTTATTTCCAAAATCAAGTTCCACCCGCGCTTTGAAGTTTTTGAAAGTTGAAAACATGTCTGACTTCTTTTTAATAGGGTACACCCAATATCTCCTGGAGTAATCATCAATAAATGAGACAAAGTATTTTGCTCCACCTAGGGATGTAACTGGTGCTTGCCATACGTCAGAGTGAACCAATTCTATAACACTTTTGCCTCTAGAATTTGACTTATTGAATCTCAACCGGTGTTGCTTACTTGTTATGCAATGCTCACACAAAGTAAGTGATAAATTCGTTAAGCCTAGAAGTAGCTTTTACTCCACAAGGACTTTCATTCCTTGTTCTGACTTGTGTCC